ATTCTGATATATTTAATTAGTATATATTTTTTATCCTACTCTATTACCATTACATTTTAATTTTTACACAAAATATTTACATTCTCTTTGTAATAGCAAGTTGTATAAACATTTTTATTTTTTCATTACATTTAAAAAAAATTTTGCATATAAACTTACATTCTGTGTTTAATAACCTAGTTACCAAAGTTATGTAGCTTTGTTTATGTGGATTCAGTGCTTACCTCTAACCCTTTCCGACAATGGCTTTCCTATCCTACAACCTCTCCAAGTTCCTTAGGTTGCTTTATTAAGCAAACTTCTCTGATACACATACAAGGGCAATATATCTCTTTAGTCCTTGTAAATTTGTAAATGTCTTTGTGTTGTAATATAGAAATGAAAATTTGACTGCATATAAGAAGTCTTGGGTCACTTACCTGTTTTCCCCAAATCTATAGAAGTCTATTGACTGAGCTGAGCTGAACTTAATTTTCCCCAAGAGATTTGTCCTATCTTCAATAAGTGGAGTGTTTCTTCTTTATTTCTCAAGTTCAGGAAATTCCCCAGAGTGTGTCTTCCTGTTGATCATTGTTTCATTGAATTTCCTGAGCCTGTTGGATGAGCAGATTCAATTTTTTCACTTCAGGAAAAATTTTTTCTATTATGTTTCTCTGCACTTTTGGTACTTTCTCTGTTCCATTGCTTATTAATATTAATCTATTGATCTCTGTTGCCTGCCCTCTCTATCTCTCATCATTCTGGTTCCTTTCTGCATTCTGTTCAGCCTTCTCAAATCCCTTCCCCAGGTCTTCGACTCAATTTCTTGTGGAGCCAATTTTTCTTCTTGTTGTTTATAATGGATTGATTAGTTCTGCACTGGGATTTATTTTGCCCCCAATTCCTTTCCTTAATTTCTCTTCTCCCTTTTCATATGTTCTTGTGTTTTATCATCTCACTGTTGATCTTAAGTTCCACGGGCACTCTGTTTTAGTTAATTTCCATGAGAGTGTGAGTGATTCTGATGATGCAGTCCTGTAAGCTGAGACCCGCAGGGTAAGAAGCACCCTGCAGGTGAACAGTCGGCCCAGTTACTCCGTAAATGCTGGTGGTCCACGGTCTCTTTCTCCATTCATGGGTCCCCTCTGCCTCTTTCCTCCCCACCTAACAGGAAAAGGGGAAGATAACTTCATCCTCAGTCTTACACTAAAAGGATATAGTCCAGTGTTTTTAGGTTAAATTTACCAAAAATGGCCAGTCCTATATTTAAATCCCCAAAGAGTCAATTAACATGCCATCTAAGTCTTTTTATGTTAAAAATTCATTTTCTTTATCTCCATTGCCTTGTCAAATTTAAGCAGCAGTATGGTCCAAGTAGAGGAAGATAATTAAATCTCCGTCACGTCAGCAAAACTGGACTGTGAGGTCTTTAGCCCTGGCTTTGCTAGTTACAGCACATGGCCAAGTGCGGTTGATTGCTACCGCAGACTGGTGCCGGGAGGGAGACCCTGTAAGCCGCCCCCCTTGTTCCCTGGGTCCCCTTTAGGTTACCACAAGGTTCTCTCTGCCCTAGCTTTCCCTAGGAATCGTGTCTGGCTCTGCGTCCTCACTCCACTCTACCCATCCTCCTGCTGTGGGCATTTGGGCCGATCCTTTCTTCCTGTCCCAGCCCTGGCCCAGGATATAGACTTAAGTGGCCCCGGTGTCTCTCTCAGTCTCTTGTTTCCAAATCCTGGTTAGAGAGGAAAAGTTAAGCGAACCTGAGCTTCTTGTTGATGTAGACCAAGGAGTGAGAAGGACACGGCGGCTCTGGTACAGGTGTGCCGGTTGTCCTGATGGCTCAACTCCCCGAGGGGAATTGCCGTTAGCAATATAATTTTCTGAAATAGTGAAGAAACTGTGATGATCACGTGCTCAATGAAACAAAATACAGCTGCCCTCAGTGTACACACCATTGCTGCATTCCTGGAAACTCCTGTGGTGTATATGAAAACCACAAAGAAAGTGTTTTGTGCTTGTATGTTGATCAGTGCTAGGTTCTAGGATTGCATAATCACAACCAGGTTTTTTTACCTACTTGATTGTGCAATGGGACGTTTAAAACCAGTGCGGAACAGGACAATGCTTTCTCACGTGGGGCCGTCCCACCTACCGCAGGACCCCTTAACGAATGCCGCTGGGGCCCAGCAATCACTGCAACAACCAAAAACTGCTGATGCAAATTTACAAAATGCCCCAGGGAGTGGTACAGCGCCCCGTGAGAACGACTGATTTGGAGAAACCGAATCTTCCTTTAGGATGCCCTTAAGAGAGCCATTGGCCAGGTCACAGGGTAGATGAGCATCACGTGAGTTAATGCTTAAAAAGGGTTTAGAGCAACGCCCAGCATGTGGTGAGCTCTATGTGTTTTCAGGACAACAAGATATTGTGTGGTAATGAGATATCAATAAGGGTTTAAGATAAATGACTATATTATTTTACTTTTTATAACCAAAGCAACTTTTAATAGTTTTTCTCTTCTTACTTGGATCTCCACTGTCCATTATTCTAATCAATGTCAACAATAATCCTTGATATCGTTGTGTTTAATTTTCCTTACATACAGAAATACACGCCTACATCACTGGCGCTCAAACCCAGCTCACCTGCCCCCATCCCCAGGCGCCTGGGACTCTAGAGGCCTGCAGACGGTGAAAGTTCTGGATTCTAACCCTAACGTGTTGGGCCTTCTGAGACAGCAGGACAGTGGTCAAGGTGCGGCCAGCAGGTGGGAGAGAGGAGACCTGCAAGTGAGAGGTGCAGAAGACTTAGCAAACAGGCTGGAGGATCTGGGACTTTCAGAGCAGTAGACTCTCAAGTTTGGAAGGAAGCTTTGAAGACTGCCCGGGTTACTCCTCTTCCTCCCTTCCCTCCTTCTCTCCTTCCTTTCTTTCCACCTCCCATCCTTCTCTCCCACCCCACCTCTGCATGTCCACTTCCCCTCCCTTCCCCCTTCCCTCCTTCTCTCCTTCCTTTCTTTCCACCTCCCATCCTTCTCTCCCACCCCACCTCTACATGTCCACCCCTCCTCCCTTCCCGCCTTCCTTCTTCAACAGATGATGAAACAGAGGTTCAAAGGGAAGAACTTTCTCCAAGGACGCCCAGGGAGTGAGTCGCAGAACAGGAATTCAACCCCAGGTCTCCCTTCTCAGCAAGGGGTGCAGACAGAAGAGGCCATTGCTCCCATCTTCACGATCTTTCTGAGCGTCAGCTGTTTCCCCTCTAGGGTGCATGACAGGGAGGGGAAGCGAGGGGAACGTGAAGAAGTTGGACATGGAGGCATTTCCGTCCTGCATCGAAGTTTAAAAAACACTTGGGAAGCAACTAAAGGGCCATCGTTTCCTAGCCAAGGCAATGTGACTGCCGCCTCGAGTGACAGACAGGCTATGAGCCCCCGCTGGAAAGAGGCAGCCTGCAGAGGGAGAGGGAGGCCTTGAGGGCCTATCCCGAGCTCACCAAGGAAGGTCGACAGCAAACAGAAGACCTGGTCTCAGCTCAGGTGCAAACCTTCCTTGCCCTCAGTGCTAATGTGTCAACTTCTCAGACAGGTCTTGCTGAACCGTACCCCGCCTCCAGGCACCCCATTGCAACTCAGAGGACCTTGACTATAAGTGAGCTGCAAAAGCCCTTATCCGCACGGCCGGAGTCCTGCAACAAAGACTGAAATCTAAACCTGAGATCCCCGCACCAAACGCATCATGGATTTGGAAAGACCAGACGCTTCCCTTTCCCGTGGGGGGAGTGGACGCCAGAAACTGCCCCACCTCCCCTAGAACCAGTGTTCCTGAGAGCCTTTCTGCTTTTCTTCCTCCTTCTCCTCTCCACAAGAAAAGCATAAGATGATTAAAAAGATTCCCACGTCTATTTTCAAATTATGTCAGAAAAGTAGATTAAAGGTTTTATGCGTAGGAAAACGGGGATAAATATTCAAACATAAATTATGGCGGTATTAATAATTGCACATTTGTGCTAAGTAACTAGAAAATTATTTGAGCATTAATTCCATTTACATATGTTCATTCAGATTTGTATCCCTCAAGCCTGCAAGTATTGGGGGGTTGAAACATTTAATCACTTAGTAAGCAGCCCTCAATGGGATTGCCATTTATTTATTGTCTTTATTGATTTTCCTACACAGGAGAGTGCTCGTGGTGTACAGAAACTGACTGCCGGAGTGAAAGAACTCTATCTTTTCTAGTGCAGAACAAAAGCTCCTATTTCTTCCCTTTTTTTTTATTTAAAAAAGAACAACCTATTTTCTTCAGATCATCCCAGCTCAGGGCCAGAATGCAGCTGCTTCATTCATTTGTGAGATGGTCTTCTGCTGTTAGTACAACATTTTATTGTTGCTGGACAGACACAGTAAGTAGTACTTGGCTTTCTGTTCATGTTGGATTTTCAGACTCAGTTCTTATCTGGAGCACGGCAACACCCTGGGCTCCCGGAAGCATGTTTGGTTCTTAGTTGGTACATGGGACCCCCAAACAGGTTCTTAATTGATACCAGGACCCCCACCAACAGGATCCCTGGAAAAAGCAAGAATCCAGTTCATTGTTCTGCACATGTCATCTTCCTTAACCTGTTTTTAAAGAAATCTCCTTGGTGACTTTTTTATGAAGTTTTCATTAGTAAGAGGAACTGAAATAAGACCAACTGCCCTAACAGCTAATGCACATTAGTGCTTAGCACGGACTTCATGGGTGTCAGCACCAGTCTTCTACTTCACCTTCCCAACAGCAGCTCCATGGGGCGGGCACTGTTAGTTAGGCTGACGCACGACATTGCTGTTTTTGTCATTTAAAAATAAATGGTTGCAGAGTAATATTAATGATTTTGTGTGTTCCATCCTAATATTGTTCTCATTTTACAGATGAGCACATTGGATATTGGGGAGGTTAAGTAACTTGCACAATCACGCCCATTGTTGGTGGAGCCAGGACTCAGACTTGGGCTGAGGGACTCCAAAAAGGTGCCTAGCCATGAAGCCAGCCACCTGGCTCCTTCAGCTGCCATCCTTCTGGTTTGGAGGCAAGAGGACGCAATACCTGCCGCCTTGCCTTCAGCCCAGGGGTAGCCACCTGAGCCTTCTGTAGAGCCCTGCAGCTCAAGAGCACTTGGAGAGATGAGAGTGGGACTCGGACTCCACTGAAGAGCGCGAGAGTATGGGAAACTAGCGAGGCTGGTTTATGAGGTATGACTCATTTTCTGGAGTTTGGAAATTCAGTTTCATCTTCATGGAAGCCATGTACAGAAATGGCCCATGAAGAGCTCCCACCTCTCCAACCCCCAGTCCACCCTTTTTTCATTTCCATCCCAGGTCACTGTCCTTTCCGGAGGAAGCATCCTGAGGGTCGTTCATCCAACAGCTTAGTCCTGGGACCACCCTTCCCAGCGTAAGCGCTACCAGTGGAGCACGCCTACCTGCGGCCAGGTGAGTATGCAGGGGGGCGTCGCTCCAGGTAACAGAGGACAGAGCCAGGTGACCAGAACGAGGGAGGAAAGCCACTCCAGGCATCCTCTGTCACACGGGACAGGTCCAGAGAGAAGAGTCTGGGCTGCGGGAGCCAGAACTCCCGACAGGAGGACAGGCCGGGACAGAGGCCACTGCGTTCTAGCAAGGCGCCGAGGCCTGAGGACGCTCCTCAGAACCACGTGGAAATCCTCCAAGCCTGATTCAAACCAACCCAAGAGAAAAAGATTTAGAATGTCAGGGCTGGCCCCTCAAAGAGGTGAAGCATAACTGGCACTCCTTAAGCATTGGCTACACTTTACGACTCTGCTCCAAAGAGTAGAGTGTGCAAAGGGGGAGGGGACCTCCGCGGTGGGGGTGCTGGCGAACGCAGGCGCTCGAGGTCGGCATGGAGGCGGAGAGTGGCCCCAACACTCGGAGCTGCTCTGGTCTCCCAGCCAGACAGTCCCACAGAATACCAAACGCAAAGTTATTCCAGGCTGTGATAAAATGTGACAAAGCAAAGCCACTTCATAATTTTGTCTAAAGCACAGACAAAAACAAGGTCACCGTGCCACCCAGAAAATACCAAACACCCTCTTTCTTGGCTGAGACGAATGACTGCTGCCTCTTCACCAGTCATCGCTTTTTCCTGTGCGGGTCCCCTCCCTACGGGTAGGATTTGACAGCTACGTCCAACCGTATGTTGTAGATAGATCGGTACAGACGAGATCGGCATGCCTGTGGCTGGAGATTTACCATACCCATCCAGTTCAAAATCCAGATTCTTATCTTATGGACGTAAAATGTTGAGGTTGTTACGAGATTAGCAGGATTTCCAGCCGGGGTTGTGCCGGCCTGCAGGAAGATGGGCCAGCCTCAAAGAAAGATCCTTATTTATAAGAAAGCAGCACTAATCACCCACACAACTTCCTGACTTTGTGTTTTGTCCCAGAAAAGCTTGTCAGTTCAGCAATTCTAGTTAATCTAACAAGATAATGTGATTATGTTTGATTTTGTAAGGCATGCAGCAGTGATCTCGCATTTTGGTGTCACTTTTTCAATAAAACTTTGATTATGGTGGGGAAAAAAAAAAGAAACTTGTGTTCATCTCCCTTCCCTGTAGATAAGATTTATTGAGAAAATCATGAGTTTCCCTGGAAATCGTGCTTTCGGATAGCATCCAACCTAGAGGAAACCTCCGCTTCCCTGGACCCGCCCCCAAATCACCCAACCAAAGCCAAAATCCTATAATAGATCCTTTCTAACACCCTCCTACTGAGCTGTCCCACTGTTCCCCACGGTGTGTGGTCTCCCTCACAGCAAGGAGAAAGAAACTCAGCGTGTTTACCGGCAGGTGTGTCCCTGGGGTCTTTGATTGCAGTATGTTCCGCAGCGTCAATGACAAAGCAAGTGCCCTCCATGTGACATGAGGTGGATTGGCACTTACCCTTTGCGGTTTTCCTCCCTAAAACCCACAACCCCGGTCTAACCAGGAGAAAAGGATCAGACAAGCCAAAGTTGACGGACATTCTGCCTAACACCTGGCTAAGACACTGCTCCAAGCTGTCAAGGTCAACAGAAACAAAGCAAGCCTGAGAAACTGTCCCGGCCCAGAGAAGTCTTAGGAGACCTGACGACTGAAGGAAACCGGGTATTCCGGATGGGATCCTGGAGTAGCAAAGGGGCATTCGGGGGAAACTAATAAAATACAGTGTGTGGAGTTAACTAGTTAATTAAAAAAAAAACCAAAACAAAACAAAAAAAACCACCTTTTTTTGCAGAGAGAGCTAGCTTTGGGGTACAATTAAAATGATGTTGATGTGGCTGTGTCTCTCCGTCCCTCGTGTCCCTGGGTTGGTCTCACATAAAACAAGCTCACAGCTCAGGCCTGCGTGGTCCTTAGAGCTTGAGAACTCAGGGAACAGGTTCTCTGAGTGTGCTCAGCCTGTGCCCTGCATGGCCAGCCAGGGCCATGGGTCCCTTCCTGGACTCAGAACTCAGCTCCACTCAAACCCCAGGGAACCAGCAAGACTATTCTGGGCTGCGAGAGAGCTGGCTCGCCAGCAGAAGGGATGCTTGGTAGACAGAAACACCTACTCTGTGAACTGACCCTACCTATTGGCTCACCAAGACTGCTTTGACAGGCAGGTCATTTAGACACAATCCAACCCTTGCCCCATGATGAGAAACAGCTACATGATGAGAAACAGCTACATGTGGGCCTGGGAAAACCACATCACACCACCCACCCTGCCATTCCCTCGTTTGTGGAATGGGAGGGTCTCTAACCACATAAGACCGATGGGAAGATGGATCGAGGTGTCACTTGTGCAGGTGGGTAGGACACAGTTAGTGATCAGTGACTGTTAGTTTAATCAGAGCCTTTCCTATTCATAGCCAGAGCATTAACATGAGTAATTCTACCTCTTTATGAAGAGGTAAGCAATTATTATAAGAAGGCCATGCTAGTGCATTTATAGAACTGCATTTCTGCCATGAGTAACAGCGGAGAATCTTTTATGCTATTAACCTGTGTAAATTTTAGATTTTTTAAAAATAGTAAGTTATATAGGTCACTGTGCTGTGCTTGTAACTAATTGCAACATTAGCTATCAAATTCTCATTGTTGGTTAATTTATCTTCAAAGACTCAGGAATGCAATTTGAGGTAATTACTACCTGTATGCCATGTTTCATTTATGGCCTCTATGAGTCATGAATCTTCTTTCTATAACTGAAAACATTTAATGCAATTAATTGAAGAGGTCTGCCACATATGTTATGTAACCAAACTCAGTGTGAATTGTGTGTGTGTGTGTTGTGTTTTACGGTTGCATCCTGGAATTCGTGCAGATGTGACGTCTCCTAGTAACACCAGTGGTGGTGGGAAATGGGGGAAAACTGTGTTATTCTTTCTTCATGTTAATGGAGCTTTCCTTAATTTTTTCCCCCTTAAACTGGGGCTAGAAACCCTTGAAATATCTTTGCAATACATTTCTCAGTTTTTTTAACTGCTGAATTATATAAACACACCTTGCTTCTATTTGATTTTGATTGCTTTCTTGGCCTAGTTTCCCTGCAAGCATTTGGTATGATTGAATAATTTTTAGTTGTGTTTTCTCGCTGTGCCTGTGCTAATCCACTAACGGTTGGTTTTTGCAGCATTGCTACAATCTACTGTCTTTATCTTTCACTCGATTTTTAAACGGGGTATTTTATTGCCGGTCATTACCGTCCACGGTAGATTCTGGGCACTGTCGTTCCACCAGCTGAACTCATGTCCCGGTGTGCCTCTTGCTGGTCCCTCTGTTCTTAGAATCTCGGTGTCTTCCCCAAGAGCCATGCTGTTATTCCTCCGGCAGCTCTGCTTTTTGGCACACTTTCAAGTTTGCGTTTTAGACGAGTTGTTAAAGTTTCAATATGAGAGATAATGCTATTTAAGATGAGGCTAAACCCCTTGTTGCTTCAGATGATTTAATTTGCACAGCCTTTGCTCATCTGTCAAATGGGGTGACAATATATTTTTGTTGAGACAGAGTCTCACTCTGTTTCCCGGGCTAGAGTGCTGTGGCTTCAGCCTAGCTCACAGCAACCTCAAACTCCTGGGCTCAAGCGATCCTACTGCCTCAGCCTCCCGAGTAGCTGGGACTACAGGCATGCGCCACCATGCCCGGCTGATTTTTTCTCTATATATTAGTTGGTCAATTAATTACTTTCTATTTATAGTAGAGACGGGGTCTCACTCTTGCTCAGGCTGGTTTCGAACTCCTGACCTTGAGCAATCCGCCCACCTCGGCCTTGACAATATCCTTTCGAAAAGCATGTACTGACATCTTTCCACATAAGATATCTTAATTTTGCATCTTCATGGTGGGATATTATAACCTTTGTTCCATCAGAACAGAACCTAAAACCCAGTGGTGACCATGCTCTGGACCTTTGAACAAAGGATTCCAGCAGCTCACCCGCCTGGCCTCAACCAGATGGACTTTGTTACCCAAACAATATAGTCAAAGACCTCACATTCAGATGAGTTCCACAAACATTTGTATAAGAAAAGGCCCTGTTGCTAAGGAGCTGATATTCCTATCTGCTTGAAAATTGGCATTTCTGTCCTCATTCATTCAAGAAGCATTTATTGGGTGATTGCTGTAGACCAGGCACTGGGCTAGGTGTCATGGATGGGAAAGTGCACAGGCAGCCAAAACATCGGCCCTGCCCTCATGGAGTCAATAGTAGAGTCCTATTTCCAAGTAGAATAAGACACAACAGAAACTAGCATAACTTACAGCAATAACCTTGCAGCCAGCATGCAATTTTGAAGAGTGACTTACTAGGGAAGACTCCAAATGGTTCCTTCATACTTCTGATGGCCTAATGAATGTAAGACTGTGAAGGAGGGAATGGCTTGGGGGAAAAATGGCAAAAAATGTTTTCTGTCTCTTTAAAACTTCCCCCACTCTTTTGGGGACCCGAGGCCTGCAGTCCCTGCCTCTCGGAGAGGTGGGCAGGTGGTCAGGAGGGGCAGAGGAATGTCTTTTGTTCTTTGTGTTACAGGAGATGGCTCAGCTGAACTTGGCTCCATCCCAGGCCCGGTACCTGGCCCAAGGAGGTCTGGGTGGGCCTCCCAGGCGGGCAGAGGTCACAGGCTTTGTCTTCAGCAGAGATGGGACGTTAGAATCATTAAGGACAATAGCCTAGAACTGAGTGAGGGTCCTCCCTTTAAAATCTCTGTATTTCTGCTTGTGGACAGGAATTTGGATTTTGAGACCAGAGTTTGCCATTTTTCCTCCTTTGCTGGCAAAGTAATAAACTTCTCTTTCCTTCTTCTTAACCCACTTGGCCTTATTCTTCTGATGTGGCCCCGAGGATAAGTGCTGAGCTTTCGGTAACAAAACCGTCCCTGCTGCTTCAGTGTCTCATTGTAAATGTGAATCTGCCTCTCTCTCTCTGTCTTTCTCTCTCTCTCCCTCCTCTCTTCTTCCTCCTTCTCTTCTTCCCCACTCCCTCTCCTCTTCTTCCTTCTTCCTCTCTCTCATTTACAAAGTACCTGGCTTTCTTTTTACATATCCTCACTTGTAGGAAGTGCTGAGCTCCCATTCTGCCGCTCTGCCTTAGGGGGGCGCTGGACCGTGCTTCCGTTGTGTGAAATAGCATCGCTCACCACCTGAGTGGATAGAGGACCAACCACTTTCCCACTTGTTTTAAGACAGACTAGGGGAGAAAGCAGCAAAAAGATTTTCTAGAACTCATGCACATTAATTTTTTTTAACTTACCATTAGTTTACCTCCAGATTAATTTGGTGTGCATTAGGACTTTTTGGCCAAAATTAACATTTTATTATAGCTAATGCTCTTTAAAGGGTGAAGTGCTCATATTTACGAGGTGAAATAATTCACTGGCGTAGTTTATATTGTTGCTTTCCTTTAAGGAGACGGTTCTCAAACGGGGGCGATTTCACCCTCCAGGGGATACTTGGCATTGCCTGGAGACAATTTCGTTTGTCACAACTGGGGGAGCAGGTGCTATTGGCATCCAGCCGGGGGGCACTCCTAAACACCCTGCGATGCACAAGATGCCCCCACGACTTGGAATTATCCGACCCAAACTGTCAGTAGTGGATAAACCCCACTCTCGAAATAATCCAACTGTAGAGACATTGCTGTGTGCAGGTGAAGTTGCCAAAACCAGATGGATTTGTGAAAGCAAGTCCAGCTTTCTCCTCCTGCTCTCTGATTATCTTCTTTGTCTATTTACCCATCATTTAGCTCCCTTGTGCCGCGACGCTTTTTGTGTTTTCTTTATGGACTCAATACTTAACTATATGAGCTTTTCATTACCCATTCCAAAATCGTGACTGGTTGTAATGTAAATTGTATAACACATCTTTCTGCAGCTTCAGATTCTGCAACTTAAACCTCCTAGGCTGCTTATCTGTCTTCCACCACCTACCTGCGTTTTATGCACTGCACTTGGCATTCTTGATTGTTCCTTTCATATTAATTTCAATGGTGCCCGGAGGGTACCTCTCACCATATAATAGGTTGCTTTGTGAACAATTCCAGTAAGAGAACCATTCTGCCCAAACAGTGAGATGCTCTGGAATGTAAAAAAGATACCCTCAGTGTGTCATTCCCATTTCTAGTGTACCACTGTATTCTGCAATGGTATTGAAATTTAAATGAAGATGAATTATTTGTTTCCCCTTTCGCTTTAGAAGTGTCCCCACTGCTCCAGGTAATATTCTCAGCCATACAAAATGGTCAGAACTTGAAAGTTACCAGTTGGACATGGGTGAATATTTATTTTGTACTTAAAATTGCAAATCGCTAAGTATCCCTTGTGCTAAGATCATTATTTCCACCATAATAGATTCCGTTACATTCAAGTTGTTCCAGCTGTTGATTGACCATTCGGAATATGACGGTTGTCTGTCGCGTTACATTTGGCTGCGGCTTCCTTAGTTCATTCGCCATTGTCCCTCGAGCACGGTTTGCTTTATGTCATGCCTAAAGAGGCTTGCCTCTGTCTCTTCAGAAATCTTTGTCCTGATGGGAAAACTAAAAAGATGTTCTGAAAATGTTGATTTTTTTTTTTTTTAATGTGATGCCTTTTCTTGGCAGGGAAAGTGGAACATTTCAGATCTTCAAAGATGCTGGGTTTGAGCTGTTCACTTGAAAATCAAGTCTGCTGTATCACAAGAGCTGGCTGCCATCTCTGTCCTCCTATCAGTGGATGAAGAAAAGTCACAGCAAAAAAATAAATAAATAAATAAATAAATAAAACTACTTTAAAATCACCAGTCTGATATTTTTAAGTTGGGTCTTTAAGGGATGTCTGCCCGCCATCCCACAGAGCGCCCGAGCACTGCGGATTCTGAACAGTGTTCCACTTTCCTGTCCCCAGTCGAGGTCCCACGAGATCACCCCCCTGCCACTGCCGGGCCAGCCCTTGCCTGTCATCCTTCCATCCTGGCACCAAGCTTCTCATTTGTCCTGTGTGCATGGAGACTTGGGAACACACGGGACAATTGAAAAACAGCACCAAATCCTCTCTCCAGAAGAGCAACATAAAACTAGATAAACTGGTCAAAAATAATCATTTCAGAATGACTCTAGAGTATGACCAAAGGCAGACAACAAATTGAGAAGCGGTTAATTTTTGCAATATCCCGGGGCGTGGAAGGAACCGTGGGGGCCGTGGAATGTGAGCCACACCACCCCCACACCCTCCTGCAGCTCCGCGGGGAGGCAGGTCTACGGGGAATAGCAGAAGGGCTGACTGTATTTGAGCAGAGCACAGAAAACTCTATGCCCAGGAAATACTAAAGGAAGTTCTTCAGGCTGAAAGGAAATGACAACAGACTGTAGCTCACATTCTCACAAAGAAATAAAGAGTACCAGTAAAGGTAATTACATAGGTAATCGTAAAAGACAGTACAAACACATATTTTGTCTTTTCTTCTGTAATTGATTGGTGGCAATTGCATAAACAACAATGATAAAACTGTACTACTGAGCTGACAACATAGTATTAATATGTGACATGTATGACTATAAACTGAAAAGAAAATCCTAATCCTCCCCCCCCCCCACAAATGAACAGATCCCCTCTTCACCAAGGGGACCCCAGAACACCTTAAAACTGAGATCCTGGCCACGAAGGGTAGATGAAGGCAAGGGAGGTCTGATCCACCTCCTTCTACCCGCTCCCTTTTGCAGTTTAGACTAGTTGCAAAGTGGACCTAAGCCCACACAAGGCAAAGGTTAAGTCATGCCTGCAGCCAGTCAACTTGCTCAGCAGATCACTTTGAATCCGTACCTTGTGACTTCTTTCTGATTAGCACACCCCCTTATCTTAGCTCAAGCATTCATTTCTGCTGACTCCAAGTCTTTAGACAAAGCTTTATTTCTTTAACCAATTAAAAATCTGAAAAATCTCTGAACCCACCTGTGACCTGTAAGCCTCTACTTTGACATGTCTCACCGTTTTGGGCCACACCACTATCTACCTTTCATGTATTGATTTATGATTTTATCTGCAAGTCCTATCTCACTAAAATGTGTAAAACCAAACTGTAACCAGACCACCTTGAAACCGCTTACTCAAGACTTCTTGGATTTGTTGATCCCTGGGCCATGGACACTCATATTAGTGCAGAATAAACCTCTTTAGATTATTGTACAGAACTTTTTTTTTTTTCTGTTAACTTGACATAATAATAGCAAAGGGAAAGAGGGAGGGAATGCATGTATATTGGAGCAAGGTAATGACCCTGGATGGTAACTCCAATCCACAGGACAAGATGAAGAGTACTAGCGTGATAAACATAGGGGTTAAAATAAAAGACTCCATACATACATTTGCCTTCTTTCTTCTCTTAACTTTTTTCAGAGACATAAATTATAAAAAGCAAAAATTACAAAAGTGTACTGTTGGGTCCATAACATATTCAGATGAAATGTATGTGACAAGCGTAGCACAGAAGAGGAAGAGGGCAGGGAACTATATTGGGGAAAAGTTTCTCTATTTTCATGAAATTTAGTATTAATAGGAAGCAGATTATGATAAATTAACATGTACATTGCAATCCTCAGAGCAACGAATAAGAAAACTCAAAAGCAGTTTAAAAACCAACAAAAGAATGAGTGTGGTACACTAGAAAATATCCATTTAACATGGGAAAATGCAGCAAAGAAGTAACAAAGGGACAAAAAAGCCACAAGACATATAAAAAACAAATAGCAAAATGGCAGATGTAAATCCAAGCACATCAATCGTTACTTCAATGCGGCTCGATTAAACATTCCTAAAAGCAAAGATTATCTGACTGGATTGAGAAAACTAAAACGAGATCCAACCATATGCATCTTTCTGTTCTTCAAAAGACACTGTTAAGAGAAAGAAAAGATGGGCTACGACTTGAAGAAAATATTTGCAGATCACACGTGGCCAACATGTAGAAGACTGAGCATAAGAAGTAATGGAGAATGAGGAGCAACTGGAACTCACTGCCGGGGCAATGTAACATGGTACAACCTGTTTGGAACATGGCTAAACACACACCTACTTTACGAGTCAGCTCTTGTATTAGGGTTCTCCAGAGAGACAGAACCAGAAGGAGATAGACGGATGGATGGAGGGAGGGAGGGATGGATGAGAGGGGATTTACTAAGGGAATTGGCTCACACGATTACGGAGGCCAAGGAGCCCTGAAACAGCTTGACTGCACACTGGAGACACCCAGATGCTGGCAGAGTGGCTCAGTCCAAGTCTGAAGTCCCCAGAACCAGGGCAGTGGATGGTGTAACTCCCCATCCAGGGTCAAAAGCCTGAGCCGGTTCTCCTCAGACTGGGGGGCAAGACTCCGCTGCTTTCAGTCCCGGCGTCCAAACATTGGGAAGCCTGGAGTCGCTGTCCAAGGACAGGAGAGCACGAGAGCATCCTAGCTCAAGCCGCTGGACACACTCGCCTTCTCTCTGTTTTTGTCCTCTCCGGGCCCCCTGCAGATGCCGGTGCCCGCCCGCACTGAGGCGGGTCTTCCCCAGCTGCTCCAGACCCACGTGCTAATCTCCTAATCTCCTCCGGAAACACCTCGCAGACATTTGCAGAAAGAGCGCTTCGCCAGGTTTCTAGGCATTCCTTAATCGGGTCAGGCTGACACCTACAATTCACCATTGCAATACTGCTAGCGGTTTGCCCAAAAGAAATGAGAACTTAAATCCGCACAAAGACCTGTGCACAAATGTTCACCACAGCTCTATTTGTCATAGACCCAAACTGGAATCACAAATGTCTTATCTACAAGTCAACGGGTAAATAAATTGCAGTATAGCCTCACAATGGATGACTGCTCAGAAATAAAAGGAATAAACTATTGACACATGCAACAATGGATGAATCATAAAATAATCACCCTGAGTTGAAGAAGCCAGACAAAAAAGAACGTATCACATGATTCCAATTATATGAAATTCTACAAAATACACACTAATCTACAATGACAGAAATAGATCAGCGGTGGCCTGGGGGATTGCGGGGGAGGGGGAAGTGGGCTGAGAGGGGCAGAGCAGGATTATCAAGGAGCATGAGGAGACTTTCAGGGATGATGGATATGTTTGTTATCTTAATTGTGATGATGGATTCACAGGTGTATATATATATATATATATTGCAAAATTTATCAAATTGTATATATTAAACACGTACAGTTCATTGTATGCCAATTATACCTAAATAAAGTTCTTTAAACTTAACTAATCAACAACTTATACTACCTCTAGCGTACCTACATCCCAAAACCTTCCCCAAACTATTAATCTAAAGGTACCTAGTAGCTATACCATAAATGCTCCTTGAACTTGTGACTGAGTAAAAGAATGAGTGAGTGAGCCCACTCACCAACCTGTTACACGTCCCAGCATAAATTCCTCAGTATCTTCATTTCTCTCTGAAAAATGGGAGCACGGAGTTTATTCTTTATTTCCTGTGTGGGTGGAAATTGATCCTAATTTCAGAACACTTTTAAAATATAGAGCACGAAGCAGCTTTTAAATTTATAGCTATAAGATTTGTAGCAAACACAGGGTGGGTGTCGCACTCAATAATTAGAGCTATTCATTTTGCTGTACGGAGGTATCCAAGAATTGCTTCTGTCTTCAAACCTATTTCTTAAATCAATAAATTGATATCTTTTAGACTACGGTTCACATAAAATTAATCCAGATGGTTTGTGCTTTCATAACGTTGTTGTAGTTACTGATCAGAATTTAAGATTCTTTTCTAGGATATTCTCTTAAAAATAACTGATTGCAATGCTTATAAAAGCTAGAACTACGGGACGAATAACTATCGAGCCTATGAAATATTTATAAACCACCTTCATTGTGGGTCTTTCCTACTGGATTCTAATATGCATTGTGTAGTCATTCCTTTGGCTTCTTCCAGATATTGGGCTCTGGCTCTTTAAACAGCACGGACGATTTGTGTCCCAGGGTGATTTATTTATGCAGCAGCTATTAAGCAATCAATAGCATTTCACTTTCTCAAACAGGTCCTTAGCTTAGTTAGTTTCATGAAGTATCACATTTAAATGACAAAAGCAGCGTCCTCCTGAAGAGGAGATCCAGGTTAGAATTAAACTGCATTGAAATTTTTATTTATCAATGCTTTGATGGCGGTAAAGTGGGAACCCTGGGGGGACAGTGTGCCCAGGGAAGGAGCATGAGCCTTGACCCAGGACCTGGCTTCAACTGGCTCCTCGACTGGTTGGCCATGTGGCCTGGAGCAGATTCCCATCTGGTTTCGTCACTGGTATAGATTATAAGCATCCTCACGAAGTTCTTGTGAGGACAAAATAAAGTAATACTTATTTTAAAAGCACCTAGCACAGGGCTTAGCATGTAGCAGGCACTCAATAAATGCTCACTTATTTACTTCGTTTGATAGACTCTTTAATTTCCATTTTGAGGAAGTAGCTGAGTCCAAATCTTAGCTCTGCCACTTGCCAGCTGTGACCTTAGATGAGCTGGGCCTCAGTTTCACCATCCCAAAAATGGGAACAATAACCTTGTCTTAAGAATCAAAGCTAGATGACTTACACTGAAGGGTTTTGTCAACTGCAGAGTAGACATGAATGTAAGATGGTAATTATCTCTCAAAGCTTGGCCAGGCATATTTGCTAGAGACAGGAAAGCATTGTCACTAAATGTCAATGGCCTCGTTGGGTGGGATCAGATGCTCAGTGGACAGGACTAAATACAGATTTTTCACCAAAAACATTAATCCCTTGACTTGGGTATGGGTCTGTGCCAGGCGCTGGGACCCAGTGGGGGAACAAGACAGGCGCTGGGACCCAGTGGGGAACAAGACCTGCTCAGGCAAAGCTGGACCCCGGGCAGTGACCGAGGGCAGGGGACCAGTCAGCTCCATCCCCGAGTTCGCTGCTTCTGCCTTCTCAACGGTGCCACGTCCGTTCTGATCTTTCCGTCCCTGCTCACTCCCTAGCAAAATCGCCCTCCTTACATCTTTGCTGTTGCTTCTATACTTGGCACTCCTCATGCATTCCTAAATAATAATCAGAAATAATATTGAGCAAAGTAAAAGAATGTGTGTTTGCCCCCATTTCCAAAGTTTTTTCTTTTTTTTAATCCTTTATTGCTAGTTTTAAATTTTAATGCAGCAGTACGGGCAGCAGAGGTACACACTAAGATTTTCTGCTTTTCAGAATTTGTGGAGATTTTATTTTTGGCATCATTCACGTTTTGTTTTCGTGACCGCTTTATGGATGTTTGAAGAGAATGTTTATTCTCTATTCTGGTTCAGAAAATTCTGCGTTAGAATTATTAGATCAAGCTTCTAACTTGTGCCACTCCAACGTCTCACGGCCTGACTTACGCTCCCGTCCGCTTCATCTGCAGATTTCTCAAAAGCGTCTCTTCCTGCCATGATTCCCCCCAATCCCGTTTCTCCACACACCCTATTCCCCCTGCTTCCTTTCCCCCAGGAAACCCCTAACATTTCTTTTTCTTCCCAATGCTATGGAGTCAATCTTTAAAAACATTTTTTCCTACTATGTCTAGGGCTTAGGGTCAGGAGAAAGGGTTAGATACCTAAGCCCAATTGGCCCTGCCCTGCTATCATTATTACATGTGTCCAAAAAACTGGGAATTTGGGACGACGGAAGTACCTGCGTTGGAGACAGAGGAAGTCGGGGCAGGAATCCCGGGAGTGCTACAGCCACGGAAGAGCCACTGTGCACACAGCGTGATCTGCAGAGGGCAGACTGCAGGGTACAGAGCATGGTTCTTATCCTAAGTCTGCATTTAGCAGCTCTGTCACCTGGGCAAGGAGACATTTCTCTCTCTCTGCTTGGTTTCCCATCTGTAAAATGGACATAGCCCCATAGGAATGGCCTCACAGGGTTTTGGTAGGATTCAATGCAATAACAGACAGGGAGCACACCAGTATTCGATAGAGACATCCGCAGTACAACGGAGCATTTCCACGAGAGGGAGGTTTCCCCAGACTTCAAGGATGAGAGGCGAGGCTGAGCTTCGAAATCTCTTCCTATCTGCCTAGCTCAGCACTGGATACAATTAGGCACTTAATAGATGTGTTTGATTACTAGGCTGAGTAGAAATATGGTTCTTACACTTGAGGAATTTCTACTCTAATTGAGAAAAGAGAACAAATGAAAACCCAAATTCCCAAGAACACAAATTAGATTTACATAAATAGGCACAAATGTATCTCACCCATTGCAGGCTGAGGAGTTGTTAGCATAACTGAAATCACCTAAACGAAAGCGGGTTGATTCGGTAAACTCACCTGCAACCTAGAATCAGTTTTAGGTTCTTTTGAAATATAAAAATGAAAGAAAGCCCGCACATAGAATGCAATTTATAAGTATATCATTTAAAACTTTTTCTATGAGTGTGGAAGAGAGGCAATGATTTGATAAAGATACTAAAAAGGTGCAAATAAATATATTAGAACTAATTCATCATAAACTGGCACCCACTGAACACCGCCTTAAAGGCATGCTTTGTTTAGCCAATATCACTTAAAAAATCTTGTTTTCCTATTACCTTACACCAAGCCACTTCTCACATTCCTATTACCTGTCTGGAGACATTTGAGCCTGTGACCCCTTCAGAATATTCCATTGCTTTCAGAATTTGCTTGACCATTCAGCTACAAATATTCAACTTACCTAACTTTGAGGATACACCTGACTTTTTAAAAAAAAGATAGATCTTTGAAATCAATTTTGATAAACAACAAGGGTGATCAAGATGGGTAACTCATTCCACTTTGGGGCGAAAATGAGATGTGAATGTAATGTCGTATTAATAGTAAGAGTTGCTTACACAGCGCTCAGCGTATACAGAGCACAAATACCTTGGCAGTTATTTATCTGTCTGCTAACTTACCCTTCCAAAGTGCAAGGTCAGTAGCAGCAGGACTGGGATTGGACAGAAGCCACAGGACACTGGTTCTGTGCTCTTTCTTACCCACTGGGCCACGTTGCCATTTGTAAGTCATTAGACCGGTTTTCTCGTGTGACTCATAAACTGGTTTGAACTTGGGAAAGCGCTGGGATTCTCAGCGCCATAAACTGTAAAACAGATACACCAAGTGATTGTCTTAGATGAGTGGAAATTTGAAATGGAGATTTATATTGACGTTTTAACGGCATCACAACCAGGTTTTTAGATTATCGGGTTCTCATTCTACTTTCTAGTGGTGGTTTCCTTTGGAAAAATTGTTTGGCTTTTTTCTTGTTTCCTTATTTATAAGAAGCAACTAGCATCTGCCTACTCCCTATTTTATGATGATGTGAGGCATAATTACACATCATGTGCTTGGTTCTGAAGAGCACTGTGTAAGAGATGTGATATTCATTAATTATGTATTGGCCTTTATTGCACACTTTATGCTCCTTCTGAGACTATGCTCTTGACTCTTTCACTGATGTTGTTGTAACAAACACAATGGAATTAGTTTTCTTTGATCACTGCCTGTAGTGATCAGAAAAAATCCTTTCCTGAAATATTTCTCCAGGGACACTCATCAGAGACAGGACGAGGGGCCGGGAACTCGCTCACATCCTAGAGGGAGGTAGAAGCCGGGTCCCAGTCATTACTACGGGAAGGGAGGGGACACTTTAAGAGAACCATCGGGCAACCCTGTGCGGTGTACCTAAGGGGCGTCCACCCCAGCTCAGATCCTGGCAGCTTTGAGTATCCAGCCAAGGTGACAGGGTCCAGCAGGGACACATCAGATGTCTGGCAGGCGACAGTCATTTGTTCCAGAAGATCTGACTGTGAAGTTGGGGTTGGGTTAGGGCAGGATGCAGGCCCCTGCAGAAGGAGTGTAGCAGGAGGTAGATGGGCAAATGGACTGACTTTCCACCCCAGAGTGAGGACTACGGAGCCAGGCACCCGGCTGTAGCGAGGTAGGGAGAACCGAGCAGAAGCCGGAGCAGAGAGCTCTGAGCCAACCACGGTGAGGAGCGCGGTTGCTCGGCTGCTGCATGAGTCCAGGGTTCAGTCGGGCGCCATGATGCACCCTTTGTACTGTGGGGTCAGTGGCCGTAAAGAGATGCAAGGCCAGGACCCAGAGTCCAGCCAGCCAGGGGCCGCATACACCCCTGCCTCTGAGGGGCGTGCTTTGGAAAGTGGGGCGTGCCACAACGTTGCACCACTGCAGGCTGTGCGGGTTTGCACACCTCTCCCACACGCGCCCCTGCGCTGGTACCGGGCGCAGCCTGCAGGCTCCAGGCAGCATCCGGGGCCTTGGTTCTTGCCGGGAGAAACCGTCCGCAGACCTCAGTGCCAGGAACATCCTGGACACCCTGTTCCCCAGCTTCCACTTCATCCTACGTGTAGCAGAGAAGAAAGAGCTGTATGGGGAGGAAGGACAGTAAATATTCGAGGGATAGAAAAGGAGGTACAAAAAAGATGGCATGCTGTGCAGACATTTACTGCAGACCGAATGGACAGGTAGGTCTGTTTGCTTCCTGCTATACATTTTCGCTATACTGTGCTGATTTCTGACATAACACCATCTCTGTTATACCGATGTAACAGAGGTATAAAGAACATTTGTTATGGAAGTTCCATTTATTCTGTAGTTAGGCTTTCTTTTATATTTTTTAAAATAAGTCCTTGAACATGAATGGTCATGGAAATTTTACTGTTGTATAATTGCATATAATCTCCAAACTTCATCCCAAAACAATTCCTGAGTAGCAGAAAACTGTCATACTCAATTGTGCGTCTTGGTAACGACAACCGTCGGAGGGAAAAGCAATTTCATTTGCTTCGTTCTCATACAGAGTAGAAGTCCAATTGTGCTTTTGTGATTAAGTCCCCTCACATCACGAGGAAAGAATACGCCTGTGAAATGTGCATTGAACCCAAATGGAAAAGTTAATTCAGAATAAAAAGCAATGATTATCTTGTGTTTATTAATGAGATAAATATTTAATAAAATATCCCTGTTTTTCATCTTTCCATTAAAAACACGGCAATTTAAAAGCATTTTTGGACATAATAGCACATTAAGGGCTTGAATTACTAATTGGATTAAATTCTGCCAACTTCTCAACAAAGTGCCTTTTTTGGCTGTATTGTCACAGACACATTGTGGGAGTTTGAGCAACAACGGTCTCGTCAAAGCCCCTGTTTGGCTGTCTTAGGACCAGGCATTATCTTGTTGTTAGCATCCCGAGATGGAGACTTCACGCGTTGCCCCGGGGAATCATAAGGTATCTTGATGTTAGGTTTCGCCAGCTTGTAATTTGGAGTTGTAAAACATTCAAGGTTTGGGCAGGATTCTTTTTTACCCACTTGCACGCCTGCCAGACATCATCCTTGTCTTGTCACCATGAGGTCTCAGATGGCCCAGGGATTCTCGTGTCTGGAGCTGACCCCGCTTATCGGGCCCATGGACGGGCTGGGCCGCCCTGCACGGCGGCAGACAGGCAGGTGCACTCGCTCTTCGGGCCTCTGCACGTCTTTATCTCTCGCTCCCCAACACGCCTGCTTCTTCCCTTTTCATCTGGGAAGCACCACAGCACAGCGGAAAGAATATCGGCTTTGAAGTCCTATAAAGCAGAGTTTAAATCTTATTTCCTTTCAAAGGTTCTGCAGAGAAACGACCAGTTTGGCGGGCTGGGCGGGGAGGCGTCGTCTCGGGGCAGGGCCAAGGCGGCTGCTGGCAGAACTCCTTCCTGCGCGGGACTTCAGCTGATGGCATGAAGCCCCCCACTTCATGAAGGGCAATCCGCTCTCCCCAGAGTCCACCAACTTAAATGTTGACCTCATCCAAAACGCATCTTCACAGGAACATGCAGAATAATGTTTGGCCACACATCTGGGTCCTGCCTCTCAAGTCAGCATTGAAAACTTGGGCCATAAACAACCAGTGTAGCTGGGCCAGTGCCCGTCTCTCCTGTTCCCTGCGTGACCCTGGGCAAGTCACTCGATCTCTGTGAGCCTCAGTTTCTTCATCTGTAAAATGGGAATACCAAGACCTACATCCCAGAGTCATTGAGAACCTTATGTAAGAGAACTAGCTCCGGGCTGAAATTCAGAGCTGGAATACGAATATCCGAGCACCATTTCGTCCTTGTCAGGGCACAGGGCATGGGCTGTGCCCTGCCCACATGGCAGTTATTTAAGTCATAGTTTATGCAGCAGTTATGGAGGTTTCCGTTGAGCTCACTTGTTAGTAAACAAAGAGCTTTTGAGCACATCCTGTATGCCAGGCACTGTTCTGGGCTGGGGACCTTGTGAACAAAAGGAACCAGATCCCCACCCTCGGCAGCATGGGTTCTAGTGGAGGAGGGGCGAGACAGACAGCAAACACACACACAGAGCAAACCAACAAGAGGGTGTCAGACGGGGGTAAGTGCAATCGGGAAATGCATTCCAGTGGTTAGTGGGAGGCGGGAGCAGGAAAGTTGATCGGGGACAGACCTGGGGAAGAGGGGGCTGTTGGGAGCTGCAGGGAGGAGTCAGCCACACAGTCCCGGCTGAGCACCCCAGCAGAGGGAACTGCAGGTGCAGGGGCCCTGAGACAGCACAGAGCCTGACAAATGCGAGGGACAGAAGAAAGACCAGAGTGGCCAGACTACGGTCAGCGACGGGGAGGGTGTTGGTAGCTAAGGTCAGAGCCATGGGGGGCGGGGGTGGCAGCCTGGGTAGGGACTTACAGGTTGGATTAAAGGGCCCAGATTTTGCTACCAGTGCTCTGGAACTTAGTTTGGTGGAGGGTGTAACACACACATCAATGGCCCAGGAAGATTGGTGGTTTTCAGAGATCACTCCAGCCGCTGTGCCCCCGTGTACTGCCAGGGGCACGGGCGGACACAGGAGGACCCGTCAGGAGGCTGCTGCCCTCAGCTAGGCAAGAACAAGGTAGCCTGGACGCGGTGGGAGCAGCGAGATGGGGAGACGTGGAGGGACCGAGGAGACGGTTTGGAGCCGGTTGTGTGGGACAGGCGGGCGAAGGAGGGATAGAGCTTGGGTGTGGCTTGGGTGAGTGGTAGGTGGTAGAGGAATCCCCGCAGTGCCAAAGGCTGGCGAAGAGGCCCACGTGCTTTTGCCCTAGTGTGTGATCGGGTGCGTCCGTGGGGGAAGGCTGGGTGCAAAGTCAAGAGTTTTGTTCGGCTGTGTTCAGTCCGAGGTGCCCAGAGTGGCCGGGTAGGCGGCTCGATGCAGGGGTCGGGAGCCCAGCGGGGGGGTCAGGGCTGGACGTCTGCACCTGGCATCTCAGCACGCACAGGTCGTAGTTAAAGCCGTGGGACTAGATGAAATCTACGAGGGAGGGAGACAGAGCGACACTGGGGCCTGCCAGCACTGGGGCCACAGACATGTAGGTTCCGCAGAGCAGGAGGAGCCGGCCAGGGAGGTGAGGGGAAGCCGCTGGGGAGCGAGGCGACCTCGAAACCAGGATGAGACAAAGGACGTGCATTCAAGGGGAGAGCGGTTAATTCTCAAATGAGGTCAAATGAGACGTGAACAGAAAAGGATCACCGCGGAGGACAGTTTGTGGGTCATTGGTGACCTTGACGAGCGCAGCGTCGGTGGATGGGGGACAGCTGGGGGGAGGCCGGCGTGGGCAGAAACGGATGTGCCTCAACACGTCCAGGGAGCTTGAACGGGGTAGGAGCAGGGCGGTGGGTCTGCAGAGTCACGGGGGGCTTTTTGGTGGCGGTGAGCCCCGTGGGACATATTCGAACACGCTTAAACGCTCGAGGAGAGGATCCAGTGGAGAGGGAGAGAGACTGGTGCTGCAGAAATGAGAGTGCGGTCGCCGCGTGCCGGGCGCGAGGGGCTGGGGCCAGGACACTGGGAGGAAGGGCTGCTTTCCGGGAGGCAGGGCCTTGTCCCAGGCTGTGTCCCCGGCCGCACGCAGAGAGAGGGGAGGCTGAGCACAGGTGTGGGCGCGGCAGCCGGGCGCTGGTTGGTGGGAAGATGACAGTGTCTTTCCCTCTGGGTTATAGGAGGCGAGTAGGAGCTTGGCGCATCTGTGGAACAGAAGGAAAAGCAGCACGGCTGAGTGCGGTCCTCCAGCGGGCAGCGATGGCGTCTGAGGTCAGAGGACCCCGGTGGTGCGGAGGGAGTAGCTGGCGGTGGTGGAGAAGCAGCGCTGGGGAGCGAGAAGACAGGGGAAGTGCGAAATGGTTATTCTGAAGACGAGGAAGGTAATACGCCAAGGGCGGTTAGAAGGACCGTCAGGCAGTGTTGTGTGCTGATTTTGAGGATGGAGGCCAGTTCTCTGGCGCGTTTGAGCTGTTTGGGGATGGGCGGGTGGCCGAGTGTCTCCAGGGTCTGTGTCTGGGATCGGCCGGCAGCTGAGAAGGGGGAGAGAGGCAGGTGAGCAGCTGGGATGGGCCACAGGAGCCAGGCTGCGGGAGGAGGCGTAGCCTGGAGCTGCCTCGGCCCTGCCACCCTCCTCCCCTAAACCCACAGGAGAGAGAAGGATCCTGGAGGCAAACCTGATCACCCCACCGGGGCTTCCCCTCGCCCTTACGCTCGGCATCCTCCGTCCGGTCCCCGGGGCCGAGCCTCCTCCGCTCCCCGCCTAGAACCAGACCGGAACCAGGGTGAGGCTCGTAGAAGCTGACGCGCAGGAGCGACGATCGCCCCTCCCTGCAAAATGCGATGAAGCGCAAAGACAGCAGCAAACCACACGACAAATGCAAATTCTGGTTTTTCACACAGTGACCACTTCGATGCTTTAAAAAGAAACGATCGCAAATATAATTCTTAAAAAAAAGAAAAATGTTTTCTCTGGGATGGCCTTGTGTTGCCGGCACCTGCATCACTTCCCCGCGAAGCCTCCCTCAGCTCCTTGCCCGTGGACGGGCGCCCGGTTCCGAGGGCTGGCAGCACCGGCCACATGGTGATTAAATAACGATACAGTCCTCTGTTTCCCGTCAGCATCTCGTGGCGCTTGTGCCTGGGGAGGACAGAAATGGCCTATCTCGCTTACTCTGTCCCCAGCGCCCAGCACAACCAGGCAGTGACGAAAGCCCACCCGTAGGTGCTGTTGCAACTGAACCGCCCGGGGCACATGCCCCGAGCCGAGGGACCTTGTCTCACATAGCACGCGCTCACCAAACATCTGACACAGAAATGAGTGCGCCAGCGCCTCCCCCTTGGCTCACACGGCGAGTCGTGCAGAACCGTGAGAAAGGAATGACATAATCCTGTGTGTGCTTTCAGTTGACTCCAAGCGAAAATCTTAATCTCCCCAGAATTTAATAGTTTTCGAGTCTCGGTAGGCATATGAAATTCGGGGAAGCCACGCGCTTTGAGTTTTCACCACAGTTCAAATCACTGTGCTCCGCGTAAGATGGAATTTGTATTTCTTGATCAGTATGTGGCCTCAGGCTCTCAAAAGAAAAACACAGTGTTTCACACTGAAGACACCATAACTCCACATCTGAGCGGAACTGTTCCTCTCCTCTCCGGAGGAAGTCTTTGAAAAGAAGTCATTGAAATTAGTGACCTCGCAGATAAACAAAGCTACCCTAGACTTAACCCTCATTACCGGGCGCATGAGGCGTGCACCCCCTGTTGTCTGGGAAGCCTCCCAGGACGTGACTGTCCTTCCAGCTGCGAGTCCCCCCAGGCGCAGGCCCTTCTCCAGCTGCAAAACCGTGTCCTCTGCCGACCCACTCCAGCGTCGAGACACGGCCTCCGGGACATGTTGAAGGAGTAAATTACCGGGGACTTCAGCGCGCTCTTTAACCACCACTTGCTTGCGAGAGGCTGACAGTTGTGAGCTGGTGCACTTCCGAGTGACCTTGTCAGATGTTCCGGCATGACAGCGGAGGAAGATCTAAGCAGCCGAGGGGCCGCGCAGCCGGCACAGGGAGCGCGGGGGCACCGGGGCAGTGGCGAGGCGACAAGGAGTTGACGCGCACCTGAAGGGAGCCCCACAGGCACGGAAAACGAGTCCTCTGAAGATTTCCCCTTTAGGTTTCTCTGCGATTTTGCAGAGCCCCGGCTGGCTGTCCCTCACCTGGGAAGTTAGCGCTGCTCCTGGGCAGAAGCTATATCATAAGGGGATGAAGCGAGCTTGGGGACAGAAATGACTCCCCAGGGCTGCTGCCCGTTTTCTCACCGCGGGACTCGACTTCAGAGATCACACGGGGAGAGTGTTTTCATGCCGCTCCTGGGAAAAGTCTAACCTTGTTTCTGATTTTGAAAAGAAAAATCCTCATACTCATTGCCCGTCTCAGAGAGGTGGGGAAACCCAAAAGTTCTCATTCCGGCTTAGGGACCAAAACACCTTCATTTCCCATTTGGGTTGAACGAGCAATTTTCAACCTAAAGAAACCGATTAGATTTAAAACAAGGATAAGATGGACTCATCATGAACTGAGCCTTTCTTCTCTTTCCCTTGGGATACAAGGTTAAAATACAGATCTGCCAGGCTGCTAAGTAACCCCTCTTGTCGTGTTTTAGGACTCCCCTAGTGGAGACCCAGCAAAGGGGGCACCATCAGAAGGATAACAGCACATCTCCCATGCAAGGGAGGAAGTCAAAGAGCTACTCATGCTCAGCCGTGTCCCTCCAAGGCTACGACCACTGGACCAGGCAATCTATGGCTATTTTGATGGTTCTTGGTTTTAAAACACTTTGTCATTTGTGATATTAATTCCTCCTACATTTTCAGCTCTGAGTTGAGGGGACACTGGAGCAGTCCTGTATCATGGCTTTAAAGTCACTCAAATAAAACATTTATGACTTTCCGGTTATAGCACTTCAAAACACTCTGTAATGGTCAAGGGCAATCTAAAAATAAATCATTGTTCAAACAGTCTTAGTTTTGGAAGGAAGTGCCACCCCAGGAAGCGGGGGTGGCGTGGTATCCGTGAGCACATTCTAATGCTGTGGAATCCCACGGCATCACAGCTTGTTACAAGGCTGATGCTGGACACAGAACACGCCTTCGATAAGCACTTGCAAAATCTGCTCTGATTAGATAGACGGTGGGCCCAGTCATGTCCTGTTGCACCTGGTGTGCACAGAGCAAGCTTCAAATGCAGCTGTCCCAGGAGTGGGCTTGGGGCAACCCCCCCACATCAGGGGTAAGGCCCAGCTGGTCTCCCATCCTGAATTTTCCTCCAGCAAATAGTCCCCACCTGCTGGAGCTACCAAAATTAAGGATTTTTAAACACTAATAGGATAATTGTACACATTATAATTGAATGATGGACAAATTAACGGAATGATTTGTTATCTCAATAAATATTTCTAATCGAAATCTCTGATAGTACTCTTATTTACTAAAAAACATTAATGACCACATAATTTGTGTTAAATTGTGCCATTTTATGGAGCATAATAAAAGGCTGTATTTTTATTCACATGGGTGACCTTGTATACTGCTTGACAAAGCTAATCTCCTGCCCAGGATGTATAAAATTAATATACCTTAAGGCAGAAAGTTATTAGCATCTAACTCAGATAATGCAGGCCGGTTGAATATAATGTCCAAAAACCAGATATGGTTTAAAAACAAAACATAAAAAACATGCTACTAACATTCAGGTGACAGACAAAATAATATGTGCCGATTGTATTTTTATTTAGTTTATTTTGAGTGGAGTTAAATTTAAAACTAAACAGAGAAAAGCAATGAAAGAAAATCAACATAGTAAAAAGTACCTACTATGAGTATATTAAAATACACTACTCAATAGCAAAATTTAGGGAGGTTATATTTGCTTCTGAAGTTCTTACTATCACCAGAAAGGAATTCTTTCTCCCTTAATCTATTTTTCGCTGAATGACTTTACCCAAGCAGTTCTGACTTATTCTACTGATCAAACAGGCTGAGCAAGATAATTATCTATGCATGGATGCTTTGGAGTAAAAGACATCTCAGGAGTAGTTCAACTTTCTAATTTTTAAAAAACAAAGGGGGCAAAAGAGAGGGGGGGAAAGGAGCAACAGTGCTTAATACACAACTAATGAAATGCTAATGTGCACAAATGAGTTTTGAAAGAACACAAATATTGCTTTGAAATTAATTATACCTCTCCCATTGTCTTAAAAAATGGAAGATTGAAACCTGTATCTCGATGTTTACTCTGTTTAATTTTCAATTGTTTCTTTGATGTTTCAGATAGAAAGGTTTGCACCTGCAAAGAAAAAAGGCTTTGAACAGATTGCAAACACTCCGCAAACACTTCATCAGGAATGTTAGTTGTCAGCCTCCCCCTAGCACAAGGGAGTCTTGATGATATCTTTGTGTGCCTTTGACTCCTTTTGATTAATAAATGCAAACAATTTTTCTCAGTAACCTCTGCTGCAATCTATGCATGACAATTAGGGACAACCTCTGGTGAAGGGATGCACTGAAGTCTGTTTTTGCTTCCTCTGCTGCAAAATAAATAGTTGATGTTTAATGCTTTTTGACAATTAGAGAATGAAATCTCTCTGCAGCTATGCAATTTCAGCAACTGTTTATTATTTCTGTTCCCTGCAATGAAGGATCAATGTTTATGACAATTTTAACTCCACTCTGGGTGGACAATTTGATTATTTCTTTCCCTGAGTTTCATGTCCTATTATTGAATTCCTGGGTGCAAATATCATTGGCTTTTCACAAAATGGATGTGTGATGTTTCCATCAAAACAATCTATTCAATGGGCATTATGAGGAAGCCAAGTGTGACTCTCATGAAATATTCCAGCATTGCTTTCCAGGGTAGAGAGCTGCCACAACTTGTGAAGGCAGTCAAGTTTGGTCCTACTCCAAGCCCTGTGGCCTTCCATCAAGGATGGGCCTGCAGTGCCATAGCAAGGTTCCTTGCTGAAGACACTAGGGCATATCCAGCCTTCTGGAATTGCAGTGATTAGACTTTTCTGCTGCCAGGGAGCCTTTGCAAAATGTGGAAGTGGCAGAGGGAGCACAGAGCTGCACCATTGCACAACTCCAGGGGGCGACATCCTCTTAGAACCCAGGATGGATGGTGGCCTGAGGTTGGACAATACACTCCGAGCTGCAGTATGTTTGTGCACAGCTCAGTAAGTCACAAGAGCCAAACTTTGGAGACCGACAGGCTTGACATACCCATGGCTTCTGACCATATCCATTCATCTCTCCATCACTTAGTGGTTCATTCAGTTATTCAAGATATACTCACTGGGCCCTTGCAATACACAAATCACTCAGGGGCAACTGGGGAGAGCTGGTGCCCTTGAAGAAAGGAGGATGGGTGGGCAGGCAGTGCCATGCAGCGGGTTAAGGACTAGATCAAGGCCTGCTCGGGATAATGGGGCCAACGGGAGGTAGCACTGCTGTGCTGGGAGGTTGCACTCCTCAGAGAGAGGGCTGGGAGGCAGAGCTGCCCCGTGGCTAAAGTCTCTTTGCATCGGGCTAGTCCAGAAGGCATGATAGTCTGGAAAACAGGGAGCAAGTGGTCTAAGAGGAAATGTAGCAGGGCCAGGAGGCTGTGGGGTAGAGTTCTATGCAGCTTGTACAAGACGATCTTGCAGGCAAGTAGTGTACTTTGGGACCTGCAGAAGTTGGGGCGTTTAGCAAATTACCATAACCACTGGACTGTCACTCCATCTTGAAACCAGAAACCAAAGTACCTATCTGCAGGCCAGTCGGGAGGCTTTAATGAAATAGTGTCTATAAAGCAACTGGAACAGAGTATGTGCTGACAAATGGCAGATGTAATGATCATTACTATTATAATTAATGTGCGCTAGACATAGCACTTTCATGAAGCTCTCACTTGGCTGAATATCCTACATTCCCCTCCACGCCTCTGGTCTTTCATTTTTTTCACTTTGTCTTAATGCTCTCGGCACCTGTATATTTGTTACTCTAAGTCAATTCAAATAATTTTTAGAAATGGATAGGGGTACGTTATAGATAAATATAGTTATCGGGAATAATAAGCAGATTTCATGTCCTACAGACAAATTGATCCATTCATCCTATTTTCAAGGTGCTTTCTATTCAGAAAAGGATAAAGTACCTCGGAGAGAAATAAGATGGAGGAGAGAAGAATCTCAGTTTTAGATTATTATTCTTAGCTGGATAAATTGAGAAGAAAAAGTTCGCAGATTTTATGCAAAATCAGATTGATGTGCTATGAACGGACTGCTGCCGTTAGGAACAGCCCTATTATGCTCCAGCCGGTAATGGGCATGGCGGGAGTTCAATGTGAAGAATGATTGCAGGTGATCGATTCTCCATCCTTCAACACGGAGCTGATGTTCTCCATCCTTCAACAGTTTGGTCCGCTGGCAGGTTTTGACTAGAGATGGTGGCTGTGGGTGGTGAGGGACTGAGAGACGCAGCCCCTCCCAGATCTCGAATTTGGGGGGCCGGTATCCGACAGTGGCTTGCATCCCCTCTGCCACTTACTTTCTACCTGCGTGACCTTGCAAAGACTTTTAGCCTCGCTCGGACTCAGTTTCCTTATCTGTAAAATGGGTGAATATAATGCCCACATCACAGAGCTTTTCAAGTTCTCGGTGTTTGTTGAGCACGTAGCCTGGCACTTAGCCTCACTCAGACTTAGCCCGGCATACAGTCACTATGTAATGAGTTTTTTATTATTTTTTAAAAGAAAAATAGCCATGATCGTACCCTTGGCTTTGGCTCAGTTGATACCAGATTCTAATCGATGACATTACAAGCCATGGATGTGTTTTTGGAAGATAAACCCTGAAGAGAGTTTGGATCAGTAAAACGAGTGGAAAAGTTGACCCGTTATCGGTCGATGTGAGCCTAAATGTGGTCTTGGATCTGATCCGGCGGGTCTACGCCCACGCGTCCTCATGCAGAGGGCGGCCACTGAGGACCGGCTGAGT